TTTTTTTTTCTTCCCATGCTCTATTTTTGGTCATTTCTCATGAAAATTGATTACATTTTGAGGACAAATCATTATTCAAAGCATCAATAAAAAGATGTATTTAAAAGAGAAAAAAAAAACTCTCAACCAGACTGCTAGATTCCTTTTAATGAAGTAAAATTACCTTTTCATGATATAATGAATCACAGCATTTATTAAGCTCTTATCTTGTGCCTGGGGATACAAATAGAAAACAAGTGAGACAATTTCTGCCTTCAGGGAGGTGATGTGGACATAAAAAAAGAAGTAAATGGAGACTAGGTATAAGTTTGTTCTAGAAGGAAACTTAATCTTTCTCCCAAACCTATCCCTCCTCCAATCAAACTTCTGTTTTCTCTACTCACTCTCTCTTTGACCTTCCCACCACCATCCAATCCAACCATTTACTAAAGTCTTTTGAAATATCTTCCTTATTCATTGGGGACTACTTTAGGTAAGGCCTTCATAACCCCTAGACTGGATTATTACATTGCTTTCCTAAGCAGACTTTTCCATCTCACTCCTCTTTCATTTATCTTTCAAACAGTTGCCATAATAATTCTGCTAAGTCACAAGTCTAAGCATCATTCTCTTGTTAGAGAACTTTGACTGGTTCTTTTTGCTTCTCTGGTAACATAACTGGATAGATTGTATATTTACTAAGCATTTATTATATGCCAGGCACTGTACTAAGCACTGGTGGTACAAAAACCAAAATACAAGACAGTCCCTACCCTCAAAGAACTTACTTTCTGCTAGGAGAAGATAAAATGTAAAGGGGAGCTAGAAATCAAGGAGAGTTTGGGGAGCAAGGGAAGAAGAAAGGGGGATATTTACGTAGGGGCAGGACAATCAGCACGAGTGGTTGTGGAGAAGAGAAAGCAGGCCAGAAGGGGAGCTAGTGTAGAGGGATGAAGATAGCAGTCCAGAAGGGGAACTTCCTGGTGTAGAAGGAGGGAACAGGCTGGAAGGGGACAGTGAGAGTAGAGCAGCTGGGCAAGGACTTATCTAACAGCCTTAACCTGGAGTTGTCCCTGACGTACTACACAGGCCAGCTTTGTGAGAAAGTGGAACAGGTATCTCAGCTTTGTATTTAAAGCCCTTCATAAAAGACTCTAATTTCCCTTGATAGATTTATTTCACATTACTCTCTTTTATGCTTTGAGTATTCTGTGTTTTGGCTAACTTGCCTAATTGTTTCTTCAACTAAGCATTCTCTCTCTTGTCCCTGAACCTTTGCTCAGGCTCCCCAGTGGTGGGGATGAATCTTCTCCTTACTGCCCCTGCTCAAGAATTCTTAGGTTTAGGGGCAGCTAGGGGACGCATTAGATAAAGCACCAGCCCTGGAGTGAGGAGGAACTGAGTTCGAATTCAGCCTCAGACCAAACACTTGACACTTACTAGCTGTGTGACCCTGGGCAAGTCACTTAACCCTAGTTGCCCAAAAAGAGAGACAGAGAGAGAATTCTTAGCTTTAGTGGATACTGTTCATGTGCCAGCTCCAACTGGAAGCCTTTCCTGATTTTTCCTCATAATTGATGCTCTCTCCTTCCTCATATTACATGTTGATTCTTAACCAGTTACATGCTGTATCTTCCTATTAGGTAATAAGTTCTTTGAGATCAGGGACTGTTCTTAGTTTTTGTGTTTGCAACTCTAGCACTTGTTATAATGTCTTATGTACTTAGTAACTGGCACTTAATAAATGATTATGGCACTGGATTGTGAGCAGGCAATGATATATAGTCTAAAAGATTTCCTCTAGGATGCTCTGTGTGCCCTTTCACCATTCTCCATTTCTCTCATCCCTTCCCCAGGATAGTATGATACCATGTCCATTTCAAGGAAGAGAAGAGTAACATGGCTTTATTTTGCCTGTTTTGGAAATAAGTATGTATATATGTGAGTTGTATTCTTTCATAAGGATATGGCTATGCAGAATGGAGAAAAGATAACTGATGATGGTCTATAAATAACATTTATTGATTTTATCTACTTTATGCTAACGGGACTGAAATGGAAAAGAGAGAAGAAGATACCATTGAGTTCTTGTCTTTGTACCAAACCTGGGGCTTCCATTCCTTTATTTTTTCTGTTTGTATTTTAAGGCATTTTCTTCTCATGATTACATCCATAAACTGTGTTGGTTACTATTGCTTTAATTGCTTATACATTTTTAATACATTTTTATAAAGGTGTGAAATTTGAGAAATGACTTAGATAAGACTATAGTATTGCTCTTGACATTTTGCCAGAAATTTGTTCTTGTAAAATACATATGCCCCCTTTTTTCAGGGAAATGCAAACCTGGATATCCAGAATGTGAACCAGCAAACAGCACTACACCTTGCTGTTGAACGACAACACACTCAAATAGTCAGGGTAAGATATTTCTTGTATGCACATATTTGTATTTTAATTAGACAGGCATTTTGGACATATTGAATCCTATTTTAAGCCTCAAAGTTGTTGACTCTGTGGGACAGTAGATTGAGAGTTGGGTAGGCTGGTATTTGGTGTGTTTCTGAGGATTGATGTTAATTTTCAGCTGGGACGAATTGAATAACAAATAGGGAAGGACAGTATGTATCTGTAGGAACCTATTGAGTGAAGTATTTATTATGTGGTTTTGTTACTTTGCTAGCCGTATTACAAATTCTTGGAACATCAAATATGTCTGTATTCAATTATGAGATTAAAAATACATTCCCAGTAGAAATATAATTCTGTTTTTCCCTTCATTTTTGATTGCTTCAGTGGATCTGTGCTCTTATTGATATAGGTACTTCTTCCAGTCCAACAGTTCATTTCACAACCTCTCCACCCATTTATCCCTTCTCATCCTATGTATCTCTTGTCTAATCCCTCAGTGGGGTGCAAGGTGTGTATCCTGTGTTCTGGAGCAACTTGTAGATCATTTGATAGCACATGTGCCAGTGAAGCATGGAGTTTCACTTTAAGTTAAGCTGCATGACTGGCTGCCTTTCTTTTCTGGTAAATATATTTTCTCTTCTACAGTTATATATTTATAATATATTGCAGCCTACCTAAGCCTCCTGTATATCTCTCCATTGATCTTTGGTTGGGACTAGCAACTTTAATTTTTTGAAGACTGAGATAGTCGATTTTTTATGGCTGTATAGCATAATTTAAAATATATTGGTGTTCGAAAGATGGGCCTTTGTTTTAGGTAACAGTGTAATGTTGCTAAAAGGACTGAGCAGTTTCCCAAATGAAGTGCCATTCCTTCTACTTTAATTCCATTAAATTCTAAAGAACTTAATTTAATTAAGTGTATACTATGTCCAAGACCCTACACTAGGCACTGAGAATACAAAGACAGATCAAATAGGCCCTGCTTCCAAGGAGTTTATGTTTTGCTGTGTAGGCACATGTATGCAGATGAGTAGGTAGATACTGGATAGAATACTGAACTTGGAGCCAGGAAGACCCAAGTTCAAATTCTGCAACAGATGCTTACTAGCTGTGTGAACCTGGGCAAGTCACTTACCACGTTTGCCTCATTTTCTTCCTATAAAATGAGGATAATAATAACACCTACTATGTAAAGTTGTTGTTAAGATCAAATGAGATAATTGTTGCAAAGCACTTTGTAAGCCTTAAAGCACTATATAAATGCTTCTGCTATCATCATCATCCAAATATATTCTAAAATAATGCAGAGGCAACTGTGTTCTAATGAAGTGAGAGCTAGGCCAAGGAATCAGAAAGACTCAAGTCCTCACATATAGTGTCTCAAGGGAAAGTCCCTTAATGTGTCAGTGCCTCAGGAAACTCTCTTAAGAATTCAAACTGAAGAGCTTTTGCTGATTTACATTGGTAGAGGGAGTTTCTTTACTAAGAATTTTCTATGTCACTGAAATTACAGATATCAACAAAAAAAGTACCAAGCAACACAAAATCAGAGAAGAGAAGTGTGGTTAGGGTTGAGGTAAGAGTGTTAGAGAGGGAACAGATGAAATAAGAAAGGCCGTCTATAATAATCCCTGTCTTGAATCAAACTAAAGATTCTGAAATATGGAGGTGAAAAATGAGGCCATTCTAAACATGGGGAGACTGCCTTGCAAAGGTACAGGACTGTGAAATGGCATGTTCTGTATAGGGAGCAGCTGGTAGGCCAATTTTGCTGAAATGGAGAATGTAAGGGGGGGTGTGTAATATGAAATTAAACAAAACTATAAAGGAGGTGGGAGCCAAATGAAGCAGGACTTTCTCTTAGTTTAATATTTTATTTTTTCCCAATTACATGTAAAAACAATTTTAACATTCTTTTTTCCTCCAAAACTTTGAATTCCAAATTCTCCCCACCTCCCATTGAGAAGACAGGCATTTGACATGGGTTATACGTGTGTAGTCGTGCAGAACACATTTCCACATAAGGCATTCTGTGAAAGAAAACACAGACCAAAAAAACTCATGAAAAGAAAAAATATCTTTGACCTGCATTCAGGCTCTGCCAGTTTTTTCCTCTGGAGATGGATGGCACCTTTCATCATAAGTCCTACAGAATTGTCTTGGATCGTTGTATTGCTAAGGATAGTTAAGTTATTCATAGTAGATTATCATACAATATTACTGTTACTGTGCACAGTGTTCTCCTGGTTCCTGAGCGGGACTTTAAATGTTGTACTGATTATTTTGCATTTTCTAAGAATTGGGAGACGCTGATCATTTTTTGAGTGAAGTTGTGACATGGTCAGGCATGTTTTAGGAATATCAGTTTAGCAGCACTGAGCAACTGAAATAGACAGCAAATATGAAACTATTGCAATAGTCCATTGAGAGGTAATGAGAGCCTTAACTGGTGAAGAGGCTCTATAACTCTGTAATCAATAGAATTATGTGACAGGAGATGCTGAGATAGATTCAGCAAAACGTGACAGCTGATTGGGTGGGAGGAGGGAGGTAAGAGAGAAGAAATAGGCGTGGGTGACTCATAGATTGCTAGCTTAGGTGAGTGGAAGGACAGTAATGTTCTCAACAGAATAGGAAAGTTGGGAGGAGGGGTAGATTTTTGGGAAATATAAATTTTGTTTTGAACATCCAGCTCCTCCCCTTTTTCCTTAAAACAAATAATTATATCCAAGCAATCAGATCATCAATTTCGCCATCTCTGAAAACGAGTGTCTCATTCTAGACATCTAGTTAATCTTTCTGGCAAGGGATGGGAGGCATGCTTCATCATCTCTGAAGTCGTGATTGGTCATTTCATTGATCAGAATTCTGAAGTCTTTCAGAGTCATTTTCTTTTACATTATTGTGATCATCACGTAAATTGTTCTCTTCTTAATTCACTCTGTATTAGTTCATACAAGTCTTTCTGAATCCTTCACTCATGTTCATCATTTCTTATGTGGCAGTCATATTTACATCATATGTTTGGTGTTGTTCAGTCATTTTTCAGTTGTATCCAATTCTTTCTGTCCCCATTTGGGGCTTTCTTGGCAGAGATACTGGAGTGGTTTGTCATTTACTTCTCCAGCTCATTTTACAGATGACGAAACTGGGGCAAACAGGTTTAAGTGACTTGCTCAGGGTCACACAGCTAACTAGTATCTGAGGCCAGATTTGAACTCAGGAAGATGAGTCTTCCTAATTCCAGGCCAGGTCCTTTATCCACTTTATCCATTTTATCCAGCCTCCTAACTGCCCTTACATTCATATACCATATTTTAATTAACCATTCCTCAATTGAAGGGGGTACCTACTTTGTTTCTAGTTCTTTGCTACAATGTGCAGTGTTGACAGACATATTTTGTACATGTGGATTCATTCCCTTTTTTCTTTGACCACTCTGTGGTATGTGTTTAATAGTTCTACTACTGGATTAAAGGATATGCAGTTTATTCACTTTTTGGATTTAACTTCAAAATTGTTTTCAGGAATAGTTGGAGCATTTCACAGCTCTACCATCAGTGGGCCTGTCTTCTCGCAGCTGTTGCTGAGAACTGTTGTTTTTCCTTTTTTGGTCACTTTGATGACATTTTGAGTGCAAAATACATGCAGATTTGAGTTTGCGTCCTGCCTTAGCCACCTTTATGACCCTGGACAAGTTATTTAATCTCTCTCAACCTCAGTTTTATAGCCTGTAAAATGGGGATAATAATAGCATCTACCTGATGGAATTGTGAAGTACTATGTGTTAGCTATTATGATTTTAATTTGCATTTTTCTTATTATGAGCAATTCTTTCTTATTATGAATATTATTTAATATTTTTTAGTAACTTGCATTTCTTTATTTGAAAAGTACTTGCTCATATCTTTTGATTACTTACATGTTTTGGAGTAGATCATCTTTTTTCAGTAGTGATAAAATAAATGATTTTCCCAAGTGTTATTCTTCTCTCTTTCAGTTATCTTGAAATTTTCAGGATTCATTTAATCTCCCTTAAATTCTTATGGTTAACTTAATCTCTCTCAAATTAATCTCCCTAATGCACCAAAAAATTGTATTGCTTTCTAGTGCAGACTTTTCTTTGTAGTATGCTCAGTCTAGCCAGCTCTCTTCCTGTCTTTGTTTTCTTTAGTGTCAATTTTGCTTCCTCATATAGCACCTTGGGAACTGATGTTATAGTCTAAATTTGGTGCTTTTATTATCATTGGCAGAGAATATATTTTGTTATAGTAATCTTAACTTTTCTGTCTTCTGTGATCTTTCCAATTTAACCCTTAAATGGTTAAGGATCAATTAATCAATGAGAGTTTATTGTCATTTTATATGCTGGACATTGTGCTAGGTTCTGAGGAAAGATTTGAGAAAATGAAACAGTACCTGCATTCATTGAGCATATATTCTTTTTTTAAAAATAATTTATTTATTTTTAGTCTTCAGCATACACTTCCATAAGATTTTGAGTTTTAAATTTTTTCCCCTGCCCTCTCATTCCTTGCAACGCAGCATACAATCTGATATAGGCTCTACCCATACATTGTTATTAAGCATATTTTCCCATTAGTCATGATGTAAAGAACAATTAGACCTAAAGGGAGGAACCAGGAGAATGAAACAATAAAACCGAACAACAAAGGAAAAGGAGAGCAAATAGTATGCTTCCATCTGCATTCAGACTCCTCCACAGTGCTTTCTCTGGATGTGGATAGCATTTTCCATCATGAGTCTTTTGGAGTTGTCTTAGATCCTTGCATTGCTGAGAAGAGCCAAGTCTATCAAAGTCAGTCATCTCACAGTGTGGCTGTTACTGTGTACAGTGTTCTCATGGCTCTGCTCATTTCACTCTGCATCAGTTCATATAACTCTTTCCGGGTTTTTCTGAAGTTTGCCTGCTCATCATTTCTTACATTCATATACCACAACTTTTTCAGCCATTCCCCAGGTGATGGACATCCTCTCAATTTCCA